GAACTAGTGGCCTGGTGCACAAATTTGTGCACGTTGAAAGGAAATTAATTAGAAGAAATACTTTAATATTGCTATTCACCCTTTCTCTATAATAGAAGTGTCAACCAAATTCATGATCAACAAAGACACGTGCAATTGGCTCCAGAGAGAGCTTTAATAGGTATCGCTCATGGGCGAGTCTACTTAGTAAACTTACTTAATTAAACCTGCTTTCTCATTTAGCTAAACATTTTCTGGCCCAGTTGAAGCACCCCAACTTCTTTTACAGTTAATTGTCAGCAACACAGCAGTAAATATTAACATGAAACACATTATTATTATTATAGATCACGCAGGGAGAACAAAAAGTGAAATATTTAACTGCAGCAGTGTTTGACTATATTCTGTGCAGTGGGAAAACCTAAAGTCATTTGCAAAGTCCACTATTTCTTACTTCTTTTCAGTGGGGTCAAGTTTCTAAGCTTTTTTAATCTCCTTTTTCTGGCTAATGAAAAGAAAATAGGATGCCACCAAGTCTCCTATCTACCTACTGTAGGACTTCTGTGAGGATCAAATGAGATGAGGCAAGGGAAAATGTTTCACAGACATTTGTTTAAAGTGTGAAATGTTTGCACCTGGCTATAAAGCAAGTCATGTTCCTGGGCTGAGGAACCTGCAAGGAGGCTAGTCACTAGGGAAGGAAGGCCAGGTGTTGCTAAGTGACGTCATTACCCAGAAGGACACTTAGCATATTAGCCATATATATATACTAGAGGCCCGGTGCACAAAAATTTCTGCACTCGGTGGGGAAGGGGGGGGGGTCCCCTCAGCCTGGCCTGTGCCCTCTTGCAGTCTGGGACCCCTCGGGAGATAACCCCCTGCTGGCTTAGGCCTGCTCCTGGGTGGCAGAGGGCAGGCCCAATCCCTAGGTGCAGCCCCTGGTCGGGCTCAGAGCAGGGCGGATTGGGAGGTTGCGATGCCACCCTCAGTCACGCTCAGGGTAGGGCCGATTGGGGGTTGGGGCACCGCCCCCTGTCACACTCGAGGCAGGGTCGATGGGGAGGTTGCAGTGCCACCCCCTGTCATGCACAGAGCAGGGTCAATCAGGGGGTTGGGGAGCTCCCCCCTGCCACGCACAGAGCAGGACCCATCAGGGGGTTGGGGAGCTCCCCCCTGTCATGCACAGAGCAGGGTCGATCAGGGGGTTGGGGAGCTCCCCCCTGTCACACACAGAGCAGGGCCCATCAGGGGGTTGGGTAGCTCCCCCCTGTTACTCACAGAGTAGGGCCAATAGGGGAGTTGGGGCACCGCCCCCTGTCACACACAGAGAAGGGCAGATCAGGGGGTTCGGGCGCTGCCCTCTATCACCCACAGAGCAGGGCCGATCAAGGGGTTGGGGTGCCGCCACTGCCACACTCCGGGCTGGGCTGATGGGGAGGTTATGGCTCTACCCTGTCACACACAGAGCAGGGCCTGTGACGGGGTGGGGTTGGGGCACCGCACCCTGTCACACACAAAGCAGGGCCTATCAGGGCATTGGGGCACTGCAGCCTGTCACACACAGAGCCACAGGGTGATCAGGGGGTTTGGGCACTGCCCTCTGTCATGCTGATCCCAGTGCCGGAGGCCTCTCGGCTCCTCTGATCCCGGTGCTGGGAGGCATATTAGCCTTTTACTATATAGGATAGAGGCCTGGTGCATGGGTGGGGCTGGCTGGTTTGCCCTGAAGGGTGTCCTGGATCAGGGTGGGGGTCCCCACTGGGGTGCCTGGCCAGCCTGGGTGAGGGGATGATGGCTGTTTGCAGCTGGTCACACACCCTTCAGGGTGGGGTTCCCACTGGGGTGCCTGGCCAGCCTGGATGATGGGATGATGGCTGTTTGCAGCTGGTCACACACCCTTCAGGGTGGGGGTTCCCACTGGGGTGCCTGGCCAGTCTGGGTGAGGGGCTGAGGGCTGTTTTCAGGCTGACGGGTGACTGAAGCTCCCAACTGCTCCATTTTTTCTTTTTCTTTTTTAGTCTGGGCATGCTTTATCTCTGGCTCCAGCTCTGAGGCCTCTGCTGCTGAAAGCAGGTATCTGGTTTGTTTGGGTTCTATAATCGAAACAATGTATAACTCCAGCTCTGAGATCCTGGCGGGCTGAAAGCAGGTTTCTGGAGTTTTGTTTAGTTTCTATATTTGTTACAGTGTTTGAAACTGCAAGCTCAGAGGCCAGCAAGGCAGGCGGGGAACGTTGGAGTCCTCCTTCACTGAAGCAAGCAAGCCTCATGTTAGCTTCCAGCTGCCTGGCTGCCGGCCACCATCTTGGCTGGCAGTTAATTTGCATATCTCCCTGATTAGCCAATGGGAAGGGTAGCAGTCGTATGCTAGTTACCATGTTTCTCTTTTATTAGATAGGATATATATATATATATATATATATATATATATATATATATATAATTTGACTATTGTTCTCATCTTTTTCATGATGTTATCTCTGATAAACCCAGTCTTATTAATAATGTTAAATTTGAAAAAAAAAATAGTAAAAGCTAAAAACTCCCAAGAAATTTGATCCAACAACAATTTGATAGAAATATCAATGAATATTAGCTACAATTCCTTTTTCCACATATATGTGTATCCGTGAAGTGTTTGATAGCCTGAGTCTCTGAAGGGTGTTCCTGATGCCTGACCAGCTCCTGAGAGTTAGAGCACTGTTCATAACCCAGAGGAAGCCACATGGATATTGTAGCTGCTTTTTCACATGCGGGAATTTAACATTGTTCTTACAGAGTGGTGCTGACAAAGTTTACATTTAAGATGAGAAAATTAATTGATTCAGTAAAAAGTTTTAAAGTCATGTGTATTGAAGGAGAAATAGAAAGCATGGTTTCACAATCAAGTCTATTTAGGATAAATCCTAGTGTTGTGTTTTGGCACCAGCAGTTTCTGGTTCTACCAGCTTGGGTGGGTAGCTGTTTATAGAAAAGTATATAAGTATACATACATATATTTATATGTTTGCTTACAAATGTGACCTGTAATTGGTGTTCAGTAGCTGTTAGTTTCTTCAATATTGATATAAATGGATATACATTTTTCCAAATTTAAGTCTCATTACTAAGCATAACTTATCATGGTGCTTGTGCCCAATGTCACTAGATTCGACTCTTTCAGCTGGAATTGTGAAGATCCCTCCACAAGCCTCTTCTCCTCCCACTCTTTGTTCCTGAAGGGCGGATCCTGAGGCAACTGGCTCTCCAGTGCTCTGCAGGTATTGTAAGAGCCAGGGAAGCCGGAGTGGAAGTGACCACCTTGCTGCACACATCATTCCCTGCCTCTCCTTCTCTGCCCACACAGCATCTTTGTCTCCCCAGATATGTGAAGGCTGAAGGCTGTTTTGAGGGGGAAGCAAGGGATGGAAATAGTCTTCTGCCCTCCAGATCTAGAAGCCCCAGTCATCCTGCAGTTCTTCAAGTAACGTTCGTTCTTACTGTGTGTCCAGCAACAGTAGCCTGGAGGCTGCGAGGACCTCCAAGACAGGCCCTGTCCTCAAAGTGCCTGGAGTTCCTTGGAAACAGGTAAACCAGCAGGGGCAAAGGAGGGAAACTGCCTCCAGCCAGCAGTTCAGGAACTCCGAGCCCGGGGAACTGCTAGTCCTTGCATCACGTCTGATCCCGAGGACGGGCTGAACGATGGCCATTGGGTTCTAAAGATTATGAAACTCATGGTTTTAAAAAATTAGACAAAATGTCTCAAAAATGCACTTCACTATGAAAAAACAGCCAGTTGGACTAAAAACACCAAAGGAAATAAATAGCCCCACATCTACTTGTCACTCCAAAGCCAACATAAATTCTTAAAATTGTTCCTTAAAATGGAAGATGTGCTTAATTCCTATTTCAAACCCAAAACAAAACAAAAACCTGTAAAAAATGTATGGGGGCTTCAAAATTGAGAAAAAAGTAGAATAGTTTCCAAAAGTTTAGTTTTAAAAAGGAAGAAATCCATGATCTCTGTGAGTATTAAAACCTAATATTACTACTGACTGAGAATAGATATGATGATAATATTCTCAAATTCAGTCTGCGATCACAAATCTTAACCCTCAATTTACCATTATTTTCAATTAGAAATAGTGATGGGTGATCAATCAAGAAATAACAAAGAATAGAAAGTCGATTTTTCCCATTGAAGTGGGGACAGCATAGAAAAGCACACGTGCAAAACCACAGCAGTTTGACAACTGACTTGGCAGCGATGCCAGGTGGAGAGCTGAGGCGACATGAAAAGGAAAGAGTAGCCTATCAATTGCCAGATCTTCACACTGTAAGTGTACTTAGAAAAAAACACACATTTGGTGATGTTCTAAGCCAAAGGTGACATAAAATAGCACAGTATTTGGTTCAGGGTGTGAGCGTCTGAGGCCTCCCCGTGGCCCCGCTCTGCCTGCGCCCCCTTGCCCACCACTTGGTTGGGGCCTGGCAGTGCCAGGCCCACAGTTTGGGGCTGTTCTTTACTTCCAAGCTGAAGATGGTTTATGAGAATGGAATAATTCTGACTGTATATTTGTTTTGTAGTTTTCAGCCTTTCAATTGTTTCCTCACCGCGGATAAAAGCTGTGGGCACAGTGGCTCCCACGTCCGACCAGAGGGCAGGTTCTCATGCCCAGATTCAGGAGACGTGCAGCTTTGCTCTACTTTGTAATTGAGCTAATTGGGTCACTTCCCCACTGACAATCAGACTCTGATGATGTATTTCTGTTTTTATAGATGAAAGAAGTGAGGCACTGTCCATGAATTAACCACGATCCCAGAAAAGCAGGAAAACACTAAAGTTTTTGCAACAGACATCTTAATGTCCTAGGACCTGGTGCCACGCTGGAGCCGGACCTATCTATGGCCTAAATATGTGTGGGTGAGCACTCAGCAGCTTGTAAGCTACCCCCAATCTGGACCCAGAAAAGTGGCAGACAAGATTACCAGTGGCCATGGTCACATCTCGGGTTCATTTATCTGGAGAAAAAGATGTCCTACCCAGATGCTGTCTTCTTGCTGGTACTGTTTCCAGTTGTGTCCCGTGTCACTGAACAGGAGGCTGTAGCTCGTCACCCAGTCAGAGCTCCCGTATCTCCCCTGCGTGGCCACTGCAGTGACCTCCACTCTGCCCCCCAGGTCCATCTGGAGCCACTGCTGAGCGTTGGAATCTTCCGGGGACCACCCGCCAGCTCCTGCAAGAGGATCGGACACAGAGAGGAGGTGACATCTCACATCTCAGGACTTTGATTCTCAAAGAGAAATGAAACCGTGTTCATCTAGGACGTCTTTACCCAAAACATATTCTGGCTCTGAGCTTAATCCCCCGGTGATTTCTTCACCTGGCTGACAGCCTCAGGGTGGCTTTCATGGACGGAGACTTACCTCCAGTGCTGTTTCCTCCATGATCCTTTCTCCCTGTCCTCAGTCATCACCGTTTCCATCTCCTGCATTCCTAGTGGAATTTTTTTTTCCAACCTTTAACATGTCTTACATCCTCTGCTTCACTAATATCCCCTTCCTCCCTCCCTCCCTTCCTTCTTTCCTTCCTTCCTTCCTTCCTTCCTTCCTTCCTTCCTTCCTTCCTTCCTTCCTTCCCTCGTTTTCCTTTTAGCCCCCTTTTTTCTTTCTCTGCTTATTTCCCTCAAAAGGCATCCTTTTTGGAGACCAGTGTTTTGCTGTGGGAAAATCAGTGACTATGCCTCTGAGAGGTTTGTACTCATTCATCCACCAGAAGCACGCTGGGTGCTGAGGAGAGAGGCCTGCGAAGGCAAATGAGCAAAGGGATGGGGAAGGAAGGGTTAAAAGAAGAGAACACAGATGCAGTAGGAGCACAGAAGACAGGCGGACCCAGGAGATCTGGAAGCCCAAGGACAGCGATGTGGCGCTGCAGCCTGAAGGAGGTATGGCTGCTTTCCGGGCAGACGAGGCAGGACAAGGACACGTTGGAGAGGTCAGCCGGAGCCAGCGAGCAGCTGCACACACCTCAGAGACAGGGAGAGTGCCACACTCCTGGGCCTGCGTGTGACTCGGGGTGCTGGACACATAGGGACAGTCTAACAAACACCTTTGGGCCCCAAAATTTCCACATTTGACACACTGGACGTTTGCAGAAAATCAGTAGTAGCTCTTGCTTAGTTGGGACACCTGTGGCCTAAGGTTTCTGTTTTTATGTCACATAGGAATAAGTAGGTAACATCCCTTTGTACTGACCCCAGAGTTTACAAAACTTCAGAACACTGAGCTGGAGCGACTGCACAATGTCCCATGCCACGAGTGGGCGTGGGATGGGAGCAGCCCTTCTAGCACCTTCCTTGGGGCATCAGGCCCGGGAGCTAACTGGATTTTTATTCAGCGGGGATAGCAATAAATGCCATTTATTTCAGCTTTGTGTCACTGACAATCATTTTAGTGATGCCACAGTCTACTTTCCTGCTCTCTTCAGATGAGTCAATTGGACTTCTCCTTGGTCACAGAAGTCTGAGCCTGGCTCTAAAATCAACAGAAACATATCCTCGGGTAAGGATTAAAAAAAGAGAAGAAAAGATGTGAGTGGAAGGAAGGTGTGCCACGTGCAGGCCATCAGCCTGGCCCCATCGCCTCTCCTCCCACGGCTGAGGGACACGGTTGCCAGCAAGGTCCTGGGTGATGGCAGAGCCTCAGCACGCGGAGGAGAGCATCTGCTACCTGCACACCTGCCCTCCCGCAGGACGCGGGTGAGAACTCAAAGCTATCACGTCTGTGCCGTTGCACACGGGAACCCATGTGCTGCTGCGGGTCAGCCTCCCCCAACACACAGACAATACGTACCCTGCGGAGTGGCAGCATAATCCCCATAACATGGGTGAGGAGCCTGAGGTCCAGCAAGTTTAGAACACCTGGCTCTCAGGATTCAAGCAGAGCTATTTGAGACTAATATGTAATAGGAAAAAGAATAATAAAAAAAAAAAGGTTTCTTAAAAAAACCCCAGAAAATTAATAAGGATGAAAGGCAATGGGAAGAGGCATTTAAGGAGCAAGATCCCCCAGCTCTGTCTTAACCTCCATGGGCATGGTCTCCAATCAACACCCTCAACTTCTCAAAACTGGCAGGGAATTTTGAGAAGATTTCACACTTGCAAGAAATCTAAAATTACCCTAAAGCTCCTCATTATTTCCACTTCATCTCTCCATTTCAAGAGGTCTTTCTTCTTAGGCAAAAAAGCAAAGTTGTATAAAATACATGATATTAACAGTATTAAAACATGATAGATAAAAATCTGAATGGTGAATTCTTCTGAGCGGTGAAAGTGCTCCTTCCAAATGACTTCTCTGCTTTTTGCACAAAACATATTTTCTACTATCGCCATGCCTCCCTTTTATAAACTGAGGTCTCATTAGCCATATCTATATGGTTTATTGCACAAAGAGTATACGTAGCAATTGGACAGCTGGTGGTATGATATAGGGCTTATGGCTTTTGTGAGACTCCGCAAACTTTAACTATTTTCCTTTCACCCCCAATAATCCAGAGTGAGGCTTCCTAGCTATCCTTTAGAGTGTTTTCCTTCATTTATTCTAATTATTTTTCTCATAGGCATGTATTATAAGACTTATATTGAAGATGACACAAACAAAAAATGACAAGGAATTCACCCCACCACCTTCGAAGCATAAAATCACAAAAGGCTGACCAAAAACAAACAAACACAGGGAGAATTGTTACTAAAACAAAGATTTCTTCAAATTTGTCTAAAGAAAAAAATCACATCTCCCTTTTGCCCACAGTAAAGACCTTAGTATATTAACCCCCTGAAATTAACAGGATGAAGTTGTTGCTGTTAGCATTCCTCAACACATCAAGGATTATCCAAACCCAAGAGCCTCAGCCTATGCTCTTTTTCTTTTCTTTTTAATTTTTCTTATTGATTAAGTTATTACATATGTGTCCTTATCCCCACATTGCCCCCCATCCCCCCACTCATGCCCCCCTGGTGTCTGTGTCCATTGGTTAGGCCTATATGTATGCATACAAGTCCTTTGGTTGATCTCTCTCCCTTACCCCCACCCTCCCTACTTTCCCTCTGAGGTCTGATTGATGCTTCTCTGTTTCTGGATCTGTTTTTGTTCATCAGTTTATGTTGTTCATTATATTCCATAAATGAGTGAGCTCATGTGATATTTACCTTTCTCTGACTGGCTTATTTAGCGTAGCAGGATGCTCTCCAGGTCCATCGCCTATGCTCTTAAACTGCGGAACACTCTGCGAGATAACTGCCAAGGACCTCCCTTCCTCCTGCTGTTGAAGGTGCTCCCTGCACCACAGCTAATGGGCCAGACGCCCAGGGTAGCCATGGTTGCCATGGCAAATACTTTGTTCCTTCCACAGAACAATAAACATGCTTTTAAAAAGGATGAGAGTAGCCTGAAGGTACTGTTTACAGTTGCTCTGAGGACACACCATACCCATGCTAGCTTTCTGTTTCTAAATTACTCTCTAAATTGGGGGTGTAACATACGCACCGATACCTGTGTTTGGCAAGTTAAAGGCGTTAACTAAGACAGTGCTGACGTAATTGTGGCTGTGATATCAGTGATTATTAACTAAAATTCCCATAAACCCCGTGGTTTAAATTTAGAGGAATTTAATGGAAATTTAAAGAATCATTTTAATTTGAAAGAAAAATAATCTCAGCTTAGATTTTTGCAGCATAGTGTTTTTTAATAATTTTCAAACGTGGGATATTGAATGATTTGGAGGCTTTATCTAGTGCATCGTTAGCACACCCCAAGCCTCCAGGTTTCCATTCTACATTATTAGACTTTCGGGGAAAAGATGGTAAAAGAAAATGTTGAACTAAAAATGAGGAGACCTGGATCCGGGCACAGCTGCTCTCCAGAGAGTAGATCAAGTGAGAGATTCTCAAATGGCTCGACCATCAGCAACACCTACAGAGATTGTAAAGGCCACACCTGCAAACTCCTTGATCTGACCCTTGATAAATGGCTCGGGAACCTAACCTGAGAACCTGAATTTTTAGAAAAGTGCTCAGGACATGCCAGGTGGTTTGGGAAACACAAGACGAGAGAACTTCTGAGGTGTCAGCTCTAATATTTGACTGATAAGCATCTCATTATTTATGTGTTTAATGGTCTAAATTAATTAAAGATACATCGTGTTTTTGATTAATAAAAACAAAAATAACAATATGAAGTTTGAAAGGTTAACATGGTGGTGTGTGTGGGCAGGCTAAATAGGCATCTCCGATGGTGGATAAAGAAAAAAATTGACTTCATTTAAGGGAAGGGGATGGAGGATAGGATGCCCAAGGAAAGGCTGCACAGCACTGAGCCAAGGGTGCATGGGGTCGATGCTGGCATCCCCCAGGAGCTGGAGTTTCACCCTATGCACAGTCACTGGCAGGAAGCTCTTGTCAGTGGGTCTGGGGGCTGAGCTGGGCTGAGAATGCAGATGGAATGCAGGTGTGCAACCAGGCTCCTTCAGGAGTTTCCATTCCTTACATGGTCTGTCTCCTGGTGTCCAGTGAGTCTTTCCTGGTCTTTTGTTCTCCTGTGGCGGGAAGCTTACAAATGGCCATTAAGGCTTTATTGCCCTACAGTCCTAACATTTCACTCCTCTTTCTCTTTGTTAGTAATTATTCTTAATTTTTAACATACACATCTGTTCCTATAGCAGCCTGAAATTGTCACCCATATATTATTTCATAGGACTCAAACCAATCCACTTCAGGGAGCTACTCTAATCCTAAGCAGGGCAATTGGCAATACCTGATCCCAATGCAGATGACTCTCTTGACATAGTTTGGCTATAGTCATCTTTAGGGTATGGTTCACTTTTTATTTTTCCCAAAGATTGGGGGTGGTATGCTGAGTGGAGTTTTTATACTCAAGGCTGAGGAAACCTGTTGAATGACTTGTATGATAAAAGCTGGTCCTGAGGCAGCCACTGCATCACTTGTCTGGTTTTGCTGTTTTTCTGGACCCAGAGCTGAAATACAACTGAGGCCTACATATTATCTTTAGGGAGGAAAAGTTGAGGGGATCTAAACCACTTGATTAATGATATGAAAAATCAAGAGTCCGAACTGCTTGACTAGTTTTATGGTAGGGGCAAAGAAGCTGAGCCACCTGGCTTCCATTGGGTTTGCCTGCAATACCTGCAGACTTGGGTGAATTCCTCCTGTTCCTGAGGTCC